TTTTTTTTGTAATTTCAGTTCGTAATTTTTGTTTGAAATTGGGTTTTGTGGTGGAAAAACCAAGTCTTTTCTTTGAGGAGGAGATGTGAGTGTTTCTGTTATAATCTTTTATTTCCCTTTGTTCTATGATGGTACCGGACGGGATTTCTTTCATAGATTTTTCAAATCTGAAAATGGGTGGCTTTGGAATGTGAATCTTAGCTCTTTTGCAAAATGGGTTTTCCTCGTTAAGATGAGATTGAGAGATTGCGGCGCGGAAACAATGGAGATCTAACATGCCTATTAGTATTTGGGGAAAACAGAAAACAGTTGAGTGACAAGAAGGAGATTTTGGTTATGGTTACGCCCGAGCTTTCGGTTGTCTCGCCCGAGCTTGCGGTCGTTGACCATAAGAATGGAAAGAGCTTCAAGCGTGTTTGTCATTTTTTGTTTGAACTTGAAGTTGGGTGGTTTTTGAAATTATTATCCGAAGTTTAATTTATGAAATATAAATTAGTTTATGAAATTCGTTTTATTGTGGAATTTGCTGATATTTGATTGATGTTTTTGGAATTTGTTCAATTATTGAAATTGCTATTGTGATTTTTGGTTGATATTGGTGAAAATTTCTATTTTGATTAGTTTGTGTATTCAGCTATTTGGGATTTTTTTTGTTGATTATTTTACTATTTTTGGAATGTTGATATTGTTGTGATTAGATTTATTTGCTGTAAATCGGCCACACTAGGTAGGAGACATAGTCAAGTGAGGATTCTTCCTCTAAACCACCTAAAAACGTACTACCGTCAACTCTTAAAAGGAGACCTGAGTTCATCTTGGTAATGTGTCTAATATCGTCTAGTTTTAGATACTAGTTATGAATTATGATATGTTGCTACTATCTTGTTAGAACTTTAGAGATGTTCTTATACCCTCGTAATAGTAGATAGGAGATATTCTTCGCGTTAGGTATCTGATCACATAGTCATCTAATGTATCTGACCACATAGTCATCTAATGTTTTTTTTTCTTGTAAGTAGGTGAGCGATGGCTACTGAAGATGATTCAATTGACCAAGCTGTTGCAGCACGTCGTGAGAGGCTGAAAGCTCTAAAAGCTGCACAAGGACTGTTGAACACCCCGGATGAGGATTCTGTGCAAGTTGAGGATAAGAAAAATAATGACAATGATTCTAGGGAAGAAACGTGAGTATACCCTTCTCTTCTTGTGTTTCCATTTCTTCATAACCTATTTGCATGCTCTCTGTTTTTTAAATCCGTGAATATACCCATAGTGTCATGCTTGTCCCACTTTTCTTCATTCTTGTGAAGCTGAAAAAAGGCCTATATTATTAGTAAGCTAGCACGCTCCCTTCTTTCTCAAAGTCAAGTTTCTTGATGATTGGTGGTGCCCCTCTTGATGATTGTTGACTCAACATTGATTTAATAGCCTCTAAGAAAAGGGAACGGGAAAGAAAAAGTAAAGGAAAAAAAATGAATTTTTTTGTGCGTATATGAACACAGCACCAGAAGGGACTTGTTTAGAACTTATTATATAAAGGAACAGATCTGTTTTGTAACCTTTATTTTTTAAGTTACTAGCTTCTATGTTATAGGACTTGTAATTACAAAGATTGAAGCATGAGGACAAAAATGTTCTGTAAAACTAAAATGCTAGGATTCCTTCTCTTGGCAGGGAAAACGAAAGTGTTACTAATTATTTCATGCAATTGGCATACTTGGATTTTATTGGGTGTTATCTTTTACAAAATAGTATGTCATAAGAGAAAAGAAGAATGCATGTGTAAGTTAAAAGAACGTATTCAGAATTAAAGCACAGTGAAGGATCAATTTCTTGCATTACCTCTTATTAATAACACTTCTTTGCCTTAACTCTTATTAGTGATATTGCTTGTATTTTCTGTATTAATAGTTCATATCATGACCCGTGTTGCGTATTTATCATTTGCTATATCTTACAGCAAATGAAATGCTCACTGTTTAGCTACTCACTAACTCTTGCAGGTAGCTTTCACTTCACTTCATATTGTGTGCCTGTGAGAAACAAATCTGGTTAGAGGTTTTTTTTTTTTTTTTTCATTTGGAAAATCTTCTTAGGTTAAAGGCGTGGCTAATGTTGATAGACATTTTATGAGTAATGATTATATGCGCACAAATGGAGAAAGGTGTTTATCTTTTTTTTTCCCCCTTTGTTTGTGCTACACTAACAAGCTGCCTTTGTCCTGGTTAATTTGTTACAGGAATCCTAACATGAAATTTCGAAATTATGTTCCTCATGATGAGCATCTTCAAGAGGGAAAGGTTGCTCCTCCAGTTCTACCAAAGTTCGAAGACCCTGTTGCAGCAATGCCTCCACCATCAGGGAAGGAAGAGGTACTCAATTTTTGCCATTATAATACCTGACTTTCTTGTGAGTGTGCATGTGTGCACATGCATAAGCGTGTGTGATAACAGGTGCGTCTGTTATGCTACATCTCTATGTGCTCTGAATATGGTTAATTGTTCAGGATCCATTCGTAAATATAGCTCCTAAGAAACCAAACTGGGACCTCAGGAGGGATGTGCAGAAAAAGTTTGATAAGCTGGAAAGACGAACTCAGAAGGCAATTTATAAACTCATGGGTACGTGCTTATCGTTTTTTTAGTAATGTTTTCACCTAGGATGCTCAACCTTTAATAGCTATGATGCAGACATTATTAAAACGCTATATTAATTTAAATGACTCGAAGGTGACTTTAAAATATAACTTTTAATACTTAATACTTGTGACATGAGCAACAGAAAAGATTGCACTTGGCTCTGGCCTGTTCCTTTTGTACTTCTTGTTGAGCTAGTGATAAATTGATTGATCATATTTTCTTTCATGGTTCTCTCACTCAATTTTTGGAGTATTGTTCAAAGAATCTAGACTTTCCTACCCTGGTTTTTCTCTGATGATTAGCCTATTGGTTTTGATTTAGGGAAAACTTCTGCAGTGATGTGGAAATGTACTTTTTTGCTATCTTTTAGATTATTTGATTTGAGAGGAAGTTTAGACAAACTGGATTTGTGTTCTTCGTGTGAGCGAATTCTCGTCTTCAACTTGGCTTAGTAGCAAATAAAACACTTGGACATTTATACAAATATATACATTGGGATGTTGCCTGAGCTTTTGGGTTGGTAAGTATATGGTTGTCCAATGACAAAGATTTTTGTAATTCAATTTGTCAGATTTGGTTAAGTATTGAATCTTTTGATATCGTTTCTCTCTTCTTGCTTTAGTTGGAGGACTGCCCATATCCTCCTTGTTGATGTTCTTCGTACTTCATGATTGTTATCCCTCTCCGTACATGAGAGGTAGCATGTTATAAAAAATGGAGAATCAAGCTTGAACCTTTATATGTGGAAAAACTCTCCGTACATCAAAAAGACTAAAAAACTAGGAGGCACAACACGCCAATGAACGAATTGAAAGAGTTTATGGAAGTATGCTAATTTTGTTAACGAAATCCCATTCTTTGAGGGTGGTGATTATTCATTTCTGTTAAGCTTTTTTCCTTGGTCAAGGGTAGGCCGAAATGAAAGACAAGATCCATCGTTTTTGTGAAGCAAGGATTTACATTGTTGAGAATATGTTGTTGGCTATCAACATCTTGATATATCTACTAGATATCCAAATTGGTTTACTTGGTTTTGTTATGTTACTCACTGCTTTCTTTTTACATAAGCGAATGAAATTGTCAGAGATGAAAATTTGCATGGCTTCTTTTATTTAAACAATATAATACTAAGTAAAGCTCCTCTGTGCGACTAAAAAAGAACATTAGTGTCATGCAAAACTCCCAAATTATCCAATTCTAAATAGATAATCAACCCTTGACAACAAAAATCTCATTTTTTTTACCATCAATGTATATTTATTATCTTATCTTGTCATAACACGTTTTCACGGATCAAGCCCTCATGCAGCTTACCATTTTTTCTCTCTTATAGATTTTAATGAAAAGTTATTGATATTGATAGTATTGTGAAACGACGCCTGCGCCCTTGCGCTGACAATGTCATAGTCTGGATCTCTCCATTTGCAGCCGACTTACCCACTATTCATTTGTGGTTTCTGCAGAGGCACAAGAAAAACAGAAAGAATTGGCTGAAGATGCACCAGACTAGTCAACCTGTGCAACCAGAATGAGCTAGATGCTAGATCCATTCCTCAAACAAAAAAGTAAAAGGAAATTGAAAAAAGCTAAAGTGTAATGAAAGAACCTAGTCATAGTCATTTTTAGAATAGCTGTGTAGTTGTGTGTCATGTGTATCGCTTAGTTGGTGGTAATTCTCATGATCTCCATGGTGGTGGGACTCCAGTATGAACATGTCATTTTTTTTTTAAAATTAACTCTTTTAAGTTTAATCTTTTCCGTTTTTTGAAAAGGGAAAAAAAAAATGAATCTGGATTGTTTGGATATAGCGTTTGTAATAACATGTTTGTTTGAATACACATCGACAATGGTATTTAGATCATTTAGGGGGGAAAAAGTTTGAAATAATGGATTTTTTACCTATTTCAAATTCAGTTAGTGATTGGATTTTTTAAATGGAAATATATTCCAAAGCACGAAAAGGCAATACAAGTACCATTGTGACAAAATCTTTACTACGGGAAACATGGCATCGATAGATTACATGTAATATTAGTAAACTTGAATGGCTTTTTAACGTATATCCAGCTCGACAAATGGTGAACAAAATGTACACAAAAAAGCGTAGTACATACATGGCTTTTTAACATATGCTCTACAATTGATAAAAGAAGTCTGATCAACTGATGTCGAGAAATTCATAGCATTAAGACTACACAAAAAGCCCCTCAAAAAAATCTACCCAAAAAAAAAAAAACTAGGAAACACTACACAAATGAAACAATAACACAAACTAATCGAGGTAAAAACCACCGCCGTTATTAAAAATAAAATATTAAAAAAAATTAGGAGCCTCAAAATAGTAGAGTGAGAACCTTAACACTAGCAAAAGAAAACGACAGAAACGAGTGGTTGGCAAACGCGCATCGACAATGGCGACAAAGTTCGACGCATACACCATAAGATGACTTCACTCCTCTAGCAAACTAAAACTTCCAAAAGGTAGATTGAGACGTAGACTGATGAGCCTGAAAACACCTCACGGCCAACTTAGATTTAATCTGGCAACACTCCTCCGCAGATGACACAAACCCACATTGAAGTTAGCATATGACACTAACGAGATTGCAAATGAAATTCTTTTTTTCTTTTGCTTTTTTTTTTTACTTGCTAAATAGATTGTAACTCGGTCACTTTAGCCGACAATAATTAAATTGTTGGTGTAAGCAGTTATCACTCAATGTAATCATTTCTAACTTCTAAGCGTATGGTGCCTCCACTGATCACACCCAAACAGATAACTCTCTCACATATGCGCACTCCAAACTTTTTTTCATAAAAAAAGGCCATAATTTACTGAAATTTGATGTTTCAAATTTTAATAACAATTTAGCACTGTCTTGCCTGTAACGGGGGTTTTTTTTTTTTCTTTTGTTTTTCTAAGAACTCTTTTTTTTTTAATCCTATGTAAATCCATTCAGTCTTAATACCCTTTTTCTTTTTTTTTTTTGGTACATTTCAAACCAAAACTCACAGCCAAGAAATAAGACGATATCTTTGAATAGTGAAATAATAGCATGGAGCTTGATCTCGAACAGTGAAGTAGCCAATATCTTGCCGAAGCAACGCTAATCACGCATTCAGAGTTTGATTCAAAAATTTCAGATCAACAACCATGATTTAGCAGATACTTTTGTGAAATTAAAATTATGGAATGCTGACATAAAATATCAAATTTGATCAAGAAGCTCTCTCTGTATTTAGCCAAAAAATAAAATAAAAAATCCCTTGTAATTTAAGTAAAGGGAAAATAAGATAAATATCTTTTAAAATGTATAAGTGCAGAAATAGTCAAATAATTATATTAATTAAAAATAAAATGTATAAATTTATACTCATACACTTTAAGAATACCTTCAATAATTTTCTGATAAGAGAAGTAAAACAAGAGGATGACAGCATAGTTTTGCCTTTTTTTCACATGGGAATTTTACTCCAAGATTGCAAAGGAGATAAAATGTAGAACTTGCATATAATTTTAAAACTAGTGGAGATGGGTTGTTAAATAAATAGTGCGACGTATCAAATTTCTGGATAATGTCAACGTCATAAATGCTCCTTAAACTGTGAATTCTATTTTTATAAGCTCTCAAAATTTTGAAAATGATTCATTCTCTCCTTAAAGTTTAAAGAGCATTGTTCGCAACTCCTCAGACACATGGCGTGGGCCCATGTAGGTCCCACAGGGGCATGGGGCTACCCCATGTGTTTGATAAGCGGTAAGTCTGTAGAGCCGTTCAACATTTTTGCCCGCTAAATTATAAAAAATTGTTTAAAACACTCTTAAATTATGTAATTTCATAAATGTTTCTGAATTAGTGATTTTAAAAATTGAAAGATAAGTTAACATAAAATTAATAGTCTTGGTGGAAAGTTGACAAAAAATTAATAGTTCATGGGATATGGGATCTTGTTAACAATTTTATATAGTTTAAGGGATAAAACAAACCAAAATTTGAGGGTATATTGAATTAGCATACATAATCTAATGGGCATTTATAAAATTAATTTCAATAGAGAAAAAAGATAAATACTTTTTAGAGTGTACAAGTCTAGATTTTAACTACTACTTTTGATTAATATCTTTTTTAGTCAAATAACTATATTAGTTAAAAGGGTATTAATAATAATAATAACTAAAGAATGAAAATCGAGATCCATGCATTTTAAAATAAGTTCAGTAATTTTCTCAATTCTCAATTCTAATTCATGTTGTATATCCCTCTTTAAGTTTGAGGCATAATAAATTTTTTTCAGTTAGATCGTGTTTGATATTTGATTAATTTTGAGCACAAAGAATCTTGAGTTCGTTTTTTATTTTTTTTTATTTTTATTTTTTTAAAGAGAAGTACAAGAATAGGTGATTGTGTAGAATAGTAATTGTGCACCAAATGCTTAGAAATCATTACTACTTGCATGACACTATTATTTTCATTTAAAATCCTTACGAAAGGAGCATTTTTATTAACTTTAGTTTTTCAAAGGGCACAAATGTTAAATTTTGAAAGTCGAGAGACAAGATGTTACAAGATTTATAGTTATGAGAAGTTTTTCTAATTAATTCTTTTAGAAATGCAATTGTGAACGCTATTTTAATATGACTTCCAACTTTTGAAAATGATTCATTTCTCCCTAAATTATATAAAATTGTTCAAAAACTACTTGAACTATGTAATTTCATAAATGTCCTCACATTATTGATTTTAAAAATCTGAGGGACATAAAATCAATAGTTTGAATGTCAAATTGACATAAAATCAATAAATAATTCATGGAACATTTATGAAATTACAATTAGTGTCACATCATCTATCATCTTTTCATTTGTATTATAGACGGAAAGGGTGTAACGATTTTATATAGTTCAGAGGATGATACAAACCGTTTTCTAAAGTTCACGAATGTGTTGAACTAAAATGCATACTCCAATGGGCATTCATAAAATTAATCCTAATTCATGTACGAAATAAGAACCAATTACACTAGTTGAACCCGTACACATACGCGTGCCAGATTTTGTAGTAAAAATAAAAAACATATTTATTAAGATCTCATTTAGAGAAATGAAAGAAAAATGTATAATAAGATAAAAATGATATGAATGAAAAAAGAAAAAGAGGAAGACAAAAAAAAGAAAAATGTATAAAAGGACAAAAAAGATAAGAATGTCAAACAAAAGAAAGAAGAGAAAAAAAAGGAGAATTTTTTTTTAAATAAAAATAAAAAAAGAATCACTGAAACGGGAGCAACGAAACGCCCCAGAAAAAAAATTGCTTCCTTGGTAGGAAGCTATGGAAGGATAATAGTAGAACGGGCCATATCAATAGATTACTGTACTGGTACAGAGCTCTGATGTATTAACTCTAGTGGAATCAGCACCAACAAAGAAAACTTATCTAATCTTATCAATTGGTAATTTTTTTTCGAATAAATCATGAATTTGTATAGGGCAGTATTAAAAATCTCATCGAAAACTTACAACTTGCCAAATAAAAGCTAAGAGAAAAAATAGCACATGTACTACTGGCACTTCATGAAAAAAGAAATACGGTATTTATTTTAATGATAAACCAAAAATGAATGCACATTATTAAGAATCGGCAAAGAAATCGTTTTTCCCCCATCAACAGAAGCCAATTTACAATTACACACAACAGAAACTTTTACAAAGCTAAGAGGTACATTATAAAATCTCAAGGAAAAAGGGAAGAAGAGAGCTAAAAAATGAATTATTATAAGGAAAAGAGTGGAGAAAAAAAGGGTCGAAAGGGAACAGAAACCTTCTGAGAGTCGATGAACATTTCATCCTGCTTTGAATGACCATCCAAACTTTAGATTGGTCTTTGTAATTCTGTAGTCTCGAAATGTATCAAGTATGTCTCATCTTTTATCATTCCTGAGCTGGTTGAAGCCAGTCTGTCCCTTGGTATGCTCTTGATTCCAAGAGGCGTCTACTGGAGGAAGTTGGTACTCATCCGGTTTCAAGGCCAACGCAAAGTCGGGCAGTGTTGGTGCTGTCTCCATGATTCTGCGGTCAAGATTTTCATAACCGTGGGTAAATTACATCACTGTCGGGGTTATTTTCATTGATCAATAGAAACCATTTCTAACCAAGCAAGACTTACTTTTCATGAGAGTAAAGGTCCCGGTTTATCCGTACTTTGCTTGAAGTATCTTTTGGAATTTTCTCAGATAGATACTTCATGGTTCCCCAAAGTGGCGGATTTCTGCATCAAACTAAAAACATTAGTTTCCTTACTAGATATTGAACCAAGTTCAGTCTTAAAACAATAAATGCAAGCTCTGAGATAAGTGACCCTTCACGTACAATTTAGTATGAACACGGTTGGAAATCCGGGATTTCATATCCCATAGATAGAATGAGAATATTTGTATCAATAATAGGCAGATACCAATTTTCCTAATATAGGAAAGTAGGCTGTAATTTTTCTGTTAGTTTCCTTATGTGTTAGTTTCCTGATTCTAGAATGGTCAACCTCCTAAAATGTATTGATACCCTAAGTGTGTGTGTATATATATATATATGTAACCGTGCCTTTGTACAAGTGAATAAGAAGAATTATTCTCTGATTTTCCACAAACACAAAAGCAATATACAGCCTCTTAAAAACAATATCATTATGTATTCATAGGACTTATACTTGGTGTCCAAGTTGATTGCAATAACAGATCAGCCAAACAGTCGCTCTATATACAGGTTACAGATGATGGAGGCCTCACATCAATTTCTAGAAAGCAAACAGACCACTCATATGAAATGTTGGTGCAGGAAAAACACCACGCCTACATTCCAAGTCTGGCAACCATAGCTCCAATCCCCAAGTAGATATGCACACACTACTGCATCCGGCAACATAGTGCGACTTTCTTACCATATCCAATAAAAAACCCAATAAAAAAAATCTTCTCCTCCATAAAGAAGGAAACTTCAAAAGTTACAGTTGCAACTTTGAAGATTTAAAAATCATGCATCTTAAGGGCAGCTAGTAGATTGAAAAAGGGACGTGAAATTATATAGAGGCGAGTCAATTGACTGAAAAATTTAGATTAGGGGAGCTGATTTCTCAGAATAACTTTTTCGATGGTCAAGAAGCATTGCTTACCCCAAGCTTCACAATTTATAAGTCTATCATTTGCATCTTTAGTATGAATTGTCAACACTATATCCTAAAGATTAAGCATGAACTTTGCTGCTCTAGTAACTGTTAACTTAGATCACGTGTCAATTCAAACAGACAGATTATCCATCTACAAGCACAGATGAGAGTGTGTGTGTGTCTATGAGAAAGAGAGAGAGAGAGACCAGGGGATTTGTGGGGGTGGTGGGGGACAACGCACCTTGACAAGGGAGGAGCTGCATTAAATGCTTCGCATGCCCTTTTACTTTCTTTGAAATACTCATCTGCTGCTTGCAGAGCAGCTACAGCCATTCCATGAGATTTTTCTGTGTTTCCCTCATCAAGGATTAATCCATGATAATAATATGCTCCAGCCTGGTTAAGTCGATGGAAAAAAGTGCAAACAGATTAGAGCCTTGTAATACTTTAGGTTGCATACTACAGACTTCAATAATCATTACAAGATCCTAGTTGAATAAATTAGTATCTAAAGAAGCTACTTAGTCTTGTCCAATTGCATGCAACTACAAAAGAATTTCTATGTTGTCAATAGATATCAAAGTTAATGATAAGAACGAGATGAAGAATCTGAAGAAAATGGCATATGCGAGAAGATCAATATGTAGTAATGAAACACAAAATGTAGAATATATCACACCTTTGCTTCGATGTATTTCCACTTCACAAAAAGACGATGCTTTTCTCCCCAACCATTTGATAATGGAAGGTTCATTATGTTATCTTGAGCCTGTACAAAGTAAATGCCACAATTTAAGCAACACGTGCTTCGGGATCATCAAATGTCCCTTGTTCTCGTGTAGGTAACATAAAGATATGAGTTACAATTCACTGCAGTGCAGAAATCAAACTATTAAGTTGCAGATATAGAACAAGCAAAACCTTTGCACTTGAGGCCAACAATTAGACATATCAGAAACCATGAACAACAATTCTAATCCATACAACAAGGAAAAGAATGAACATTACCAAGCACGATGAATTTTATAACAAAGTAGAGCCTATGTTAGGGAAAAATAGTCATTTCCTTTTTTTTTTTTTCCTGGAACGGGTGAAGCATAGGATCTTAAAACGGGCTCTTGATGAAAAACTAGTTACTTGAAATATTCAAGCCTCCATTTTGATCTCACATTTTTTATTTCTATTCCATACTCTTTATAGCATAAACTAAAGGCATCCACCATTGGAATAAGAAATCTTTACTGCATAAACTAAAGCCATTAAACATTTGTTTTTAATCCTAGAAACACCCTCTAAGAACTATATCATTATCTTTACATTCCACAAAACATTGAGGCTTTGTCAATAATTCTTTACACGCTAGTGTGATGTGAAAACATTTTCATATGAAACTCTTACATCTTAGTCGGAAACATCCATACCTGCTGCCAATATTTGACCATCTCACATGCAAGCCTTCGTTTCACTGCAAGAGTGGCTTTTGTGCTATCAATTGCCATTCCAAGTTGAATATCAACACCCTGTGACAGATTAAGAATAAAATTCATAAATAATTATTATAAAAAAAAATCCACAAATATGCTGGACTCCAGCTTGGCCCTATATAATTGTTACACAATACGAGAGATAGTTCCTTTGGAGTATACCACAAATAGGAAAATAATTCTTGATCTCGCTAAATAGAAACGGTGGAACTAGCACACATATCTAAAGCATAAAAAGCAAAATCATTAATTGTTTTACTACTAATAACACTACGAACATATGAAGAAGAAATCAAAACTCCAATATGCAAGGGAAAGGAAAACAAATATCAAAGAGCAAAAGGTTCTTAAGAACGCACAAGTAATCATCAGACATTGCTAATTTGTATTGGCCTTTCAAATGTTCTATGTTCATCAATTTTAAGTCTAATAGAACTATTGCTTTGATAAGTATTTACAAAACAAAGAAACCTTTAAAGCACTATGGCCTAAACCATGAACCTCTAATGATGGTTTAACACGATGTTAAGTATACGATGTATATAATGATATTTCTCGTTTTATTTGGCCTTTCATAAATGTTCTTAAGCTGAATCTAGTTTTCATTCTAGAAATATCCCAAAAATAAGCATTTTTAAAACAGCAAGTATACGCCCACATTTTTCAGTGGCAAACCTATAAATTCAAATTATTTATAGACAAGACAACCATGAGCATAACCTTCCCTTCCTCTCTTCCTCTTCCTGTGGAAACTAAACTACCAGCATTATCTGAATCTAGTAAAGACTAATATAAAACAGGCACCGGGCATCTCTGAGACATCAATGAAGTAATTTCTTACAGCGAGATCAAGTAAGACCTTGCAGTTTTTAAATTACTGTAAGATTTCAAAAACAATCAGCCATATGCTTCCCGTTGAACTCCAATTTTAAACATTTGGAGAAATAAGTGGAACGTGATTGTAGTTGGAAAATACGAATACCTGCTTGTTCTTAAAGAGATTAAACTTATTAGGATTCACCAAAAGAGGGGGAAAAACATATATTTATACATATTAGTAATGTATCAATGTTAAAGTCTTTTCTGTTCGTTGTTAAGATTGTTCACTAATTAGCTCCTCTTGCTATATATAATTAAAAAAGACCTCCAAAAGAATCCACGCTTCTTTGCTTCTTTTCCTTTGAAAAAACTAGTCTTATCTTGCAAATATGCATATCACTTTCGACTATTAAAGATCCTTCATCAGGAGATGAACTGGTCATAAAAAGAAACGGAGCTTTCATTAGCTGAGTCTTGCCAGAGAAGGTTACTACCTGTCCTAATGCTTGTAAGCAAAGCGCTCGAAGAACTCCTTCTGCTAAGTCTACTGGTAGGTTTCTCCTACAATCAAGCCATGCTCAGAAATTCAGAGTAATAGTGCAAAGAATGAAAGAATGAAAACATAACACCAAATCAGTAGTAACTGTGAAGGTTTTCCATCTAAACAAACCTTAGTTCAGAAGGCAACTGTGGAAGTACATGACGTACAGCACAATCCAGGTATCCTGCCGCTTTCAAGAAAATATCAATGGATGCTCGTCTGTTCTCTGTTGCAAAAGGACAAGTTTAGAGCATGTGTCGTAGGATAAAAAACAAAAGAAGACATGGTGTTCAAAGAAATGAAGATCTAAGCACAAAAGCAAATTAGTTAAGCTCAGCAGTGACCAATAGCATAAAGTGGTCACTCAGTCAGAATAAGTTTGTAATTGCTGAAGTAAATCCCTCAAGGTTTTATTTTCCTTTGGCTTCAACTATTATGTCACCATTCAAAATGATAGTTTGTTGATATATAATTCTTGACCAACCACGTCAAATACCATTATTAATAATACTAGGTAGCAAGCACTATAACCATACTAGCAATTATGTAGTATCCTTGCTACCCTATCTTTGAAAAGCGAAACAATAGTTTTATTGAAGATAAACTGCGTTATATACGTAAATATCCATATGTATCTATCTAGAATGATTCATGAAATTACTTTCAAGCCAAAAAACTGCAAACGAATTTCAGTTGCCAATGTATTTGCTATGCTTGTTAACTTTATATGCATAGTTAAGTTTCCTAAAACTTAAACTTAATGGTCTTAAATGTGGCATTATAACTGTATTTTTAAAGTTCTTATACAGTCTTCGTTTCCATATTTTTACAAAATATTCGGATTTTATGTTTCCATATATATCCATTTCAGTAGGTTCCTAGGTTCAAGTTAGGTGAACTATTAGCATGTACCAAACTGCACATACGTTCGGACCTTAAGCTTTCAGGATGTTATGCATCAATTTTTATAAGTCAAGGTCAGCCCTCCATGTCATCAAGATAGAAGCTAAATAGCTCAAGTACCAAGTTTTAGAGTCATTTGAGAGGTTTTAATGATCATCGGTAATGTAAGCATCCTTTTTTTTCCCCCAAATACTTCAAAGGGTAAGTACATACTACAATTGGAAATTTTAGTTAAGGCTTTTAAGGGGAAGTCCTTCCTCAACATGCAAGCAAGGCTATGTCCTTCCTCAACGTGCTAACAAGGTCTTGTCCCTCCTCGACGTGCTAGCAAGGCCATGTCCATCCTTAACATGCTAGCAAGGCCATGTCCCTCTTAACATGCGAGTAAGGCCATGTCCTTTCTCAACGTGCTAGCAAGGCCATGTCCCACCTCACATGCTAGCAAGGCCATGTCCCTGCTCAACATGCAAGCAAGGCCATATCCCTGCTCAACATGCAAGCAAGCCCATGTCCCTCCTCAATTGCAAGCATTGCCATGTTCCCTCCTCAACATGCGAGCAATGCCATGTCCCTCCTTAACGTGTTAGCAAGGCCATGTCCCCACCTTGACATGCTGGCAAGGCCATGTCCTTCCTTGCGTGCTCGAGGATTGCCTCCCCTATGCAAGCCACAACTGCGTGACTATAGTTTTGACACTTAACTTATTTTTCCTAACACTTGAAGCACCAGAACCGATCTTGGTCACCGTCCCATGACGCCCAAGTTATCTAGAGAAACCTCTCACGTAACCGCCATCATACACGTTCCTAAGTAGCAAGGCATCAGACCATGATCCCAAGATGAGGAGAAGAATGTGAATTATGAATCCAGAGATGGAGGGCGTGAGGTGAACCATGTCCGACATTTATCAATGTCGGAAGACTCCTATAAATAGGAGAAGGATAGGACCGAGCAAGAATTCAGAATCTCACTCTTCTACAACAATTTACATTTATTACTTACATTCTATATTGAGAAAGTGTGTAAGAGACAGTTCTGAGTGTGTAATGCCAGACACTCAATGAAAAGCATAGCAACCATAATGGAAGTAGGTTACATTGAGCCAAAGCACACTAAACCTTAGCGTCTTTCTTTTTAGTTTGATTCATTTTATATGTTTATGGTTGTTTGATCTGTTTATATTGGATTCTGAATGTAGAGATTCGGTTCCCCCGATGTTGATGAATTTCGACATCAACAAAAGACAATCAAAATTACATACCAATTTGTCAACATGCTCTTTTTGTCATTTATAGGAGTAACAAATAGGCATGTTCTAGTCCCTTCTCATACATTCTCATGCATCCTAAGAAATATTAGACTTGTCGGCATATTAGGGTAGAATGGTCTAATCGGATTTTATTAGGATAAATCAGTTTGGAAGATTTTGGATATTCAAATCTTCTCTTATCTTCTCCTATTGATTATCCCGGTTGGTTAGGATTATCAATTAGTCAATAAAATCTGATTTGAATATTAAATTCAAATCAGTCACTTTATTAGGAGATTTTCTTTCCGCATCATTCAATAATAAGCAGAATATTTGCTTTCAAATCTGCTTTCATGGTATCAGAGCCACTCTCTGGACCTTAATTCTTTCTGCCAACCGGAATGACAAAATACGGAATGGCCGGCGGGAAAGAAACCTCATCATCTGAGGTTACCTCTGCCTCTTCAGGGGCTGTCAATCTGATCCAGATCAATGGATTTGAAGCCTCCTTTCAGCAAATCACGAGTCATAAATTCAATGGACAAAATTTCGTCCAATGGTCACATTCCGTAATGATGTTCATCGAAGGAAAGGGAAAAGAAGACTACCTCATCGGCGATGCTGCACAACCGGATGAAAAGGATCCCAAGTTTAAAACTTGGAAAATAGAAAATAGCATGGTTCGATCATGGCTGATCAACTCCATGAATACCAAGATGGGACAAAACTTCATGTATTACAAAACAACAAGAGAGATGTGGGATGCAGTGAAGCGGAGTTACTCCAACAGGGAAAACACTTCAGAGATTTTTAGGCTCAAGGGAATTCTGAACGATCTTTGCCAAGGAGAATTAAGCGTAACAGCATACTTTAATACTCTATCACGCCATTGGCAGCAACTGGACATCCTTGACGAAACAGCTTGGCATTGTGCCGAGGATCATAAGCGATACAAGGAAATTCTAGAAAGAGATAGAGTTTACAAGTTTTAGCTTGGTCTCATAAAACCTTAGATGATGTTCGTGGAAGGATCTTAAGTACGAAGCCCCTACCAGATGTTCGTGTGGTTTTTTCAGAAGTAAAGCAGGAAGAGAGCCGAAAGAAATTAATGCTAGGAACCCCCAATGATGCTGTGATCTCAACTTCTAATGATGCTGGAAACTCAACCACAGATGCCTCTGCCTTAGCCGCACGAGGACCATAATTCAACAGCGAAAACCAACAAAGAAGAAATAGGCCTTGGTGTGATCATTGTAAGCAATTTGGACACACCAAAGACACTTGCTGGAAAATCCATGGGAAACCAGCAAACTAAACCCCTCAGAAGCAGAATGAAGGAAGAGGCTTTCAAGCCTCTCAAGATAAGCATGGAATGGATGCTCCCACACAACAACAGCCTGCAGAATCTTTGATGTCACTGAACAAGGAGTAGTTAGAGCAACTCTATCGTCTTCTCACATCACCATCTAAGCCAATTTCTAATGTAGGGTTGTGCACACGACACATAATGGTAACCATTCAGCCTTAATCTCATTACTTTAGGCCCAGGAACCGTGGATCATTGATTCCGGTGCCTCTGACCACATGACAGGTTGTTCCAAACACTTTTCTTCCTATACTCAATATTCTAATACTGCTAAAATTAAGATTGCCGATGGGTCTCTAGCTACTATTGCTGGAATAGGTTCAATCCAAATCTCAAAAAACCTTATTCTTCATTCCGTCCTACTTGTTCCAGAATTAAAGTGTAATTTGCTGTCCATTAGTAAACTCACTCGTGACAATAACTGTGTAGCTAATTTTTCCCCTTCTATGTGTCAATTTCAGGACCTATCATTGGGGAAGATGATTGGCAGTGCTAGAGCCTATGAAGGACTTTATTTCCTTGAGAATTCAGAATCTGAGAGTCGACAAGCACATGTGTCAGGAATGTCTTTTATTTATGTTTCTAGTAATAAAGAAATAATGTTGTGGCATCATAGACTTGGCCACCCCAGTTTTTCCTATTTGAAATTTTTGTTACCAGCCCTATTCAAGAATAAAGATACTGTTTCATTTACTAGTGATATTTGTCAGTTTGCGAAGCATACGCGTGTACCTTTCTCACCAAAACCATATGCACCCTCTATGCCTTTCTCCTTGATTCACAGTGATATATGGGGCCCATCTAGGGTAACAACCTTAAATGGCAAACGATGGTTTATCACGTTTATTGATGACCATACACGGGTGACTTGGGTTTACTTGCTTAAGGAAATATTTGAAACCAGCCAAATCTTTCAAACCTTCCATAATATGGTTCAAACTCAATTTCAGAGAAAGATTTCGGTTCTAAGAACTGATAATGGCGGTGAATTCTTCCAGTCCACTTTGGGTAATTATCTTGATCAACATGGAATCATTCACCAAAGTTCTTGTACTGAAACACCACAGCAAAATGGAACTTCAGAAAGAAAGAATGGACATCTGTTGGAAGTGGCCCATGCCCTTATGCTCACTATGAACGTACCCAAATATTTGTGGGGTGATGCCATTTTAACCGCATCCTTTCTCATTAATAGACTACCCAGCCGCCCCCTAAAATTTCAAACCCCATTGTCTGTCCTTACAACTCAAGTCCCACACTCCAATATCCTCACAAACAACCTTCCCCTTAAAACCTTTGGTTGTACTGCGTTTGTCCATGTCCATTCCCAACATCGCTCCAAACTCAACCCCCGAGCCATAAAAACCATTTTCCTTGGATATTCTCCAACAAAAAAGGGGTATCGTTGTTTCTGCCCACAAACAAAAAAAAACCTTTGTTACCCAAGATGTTACTTTTTTTTTTTTGAAGAAATACCTTTTTATTCCCACACTTCACTTCAAGGGGAGAGTAATGATAAAGAAGCTTATGTGTGGGAATGGGATGTCACAGCCACAGTTGAAGAAGCCTTGACCCCACAGTCAGCCCCCATTGTCGATATTCCAGTTCCAGTCCAAACTGAAACTGAACTGGAAGATTCTCAGCCACCTTCATAGTTGTCCTTACAGCCACATCAGTCGTCCCAGCCAGTTCCGCAGCCACCTTTGTT